CCTCTCTCCTCCTTCGTCCATCGAGGCCAAGCCCCACCGCCATCCTGACACCTCAGCGCCACCACCGCCGCCGCAAACCTTCTCCCCGACCGTCTCGCCGCCCTGGACACTGTTGTCGCCTCGAACACCGGTACGGTACGTCCAACTATTCTCGGACCGCACCTTGCCCTATGTGTTTGACAAATTGTCTGATCTATCTTTTGTGATTGTTTTGTAGGAAAATGAACGATTCAGATGGCTCGTCGAATGAGGAGTATAAAAATATGTCTGAATAAGTTGAATTCTAATTTAAACTATTTTATTGAAAACTTCATGTCTGAATTTTAATATTTATCTTTAGTTATTTTGCGTGTTCCGAATATAGAAAAACAAAGACAAACATTCAGCGGATTGGATGATAGACCCACTTTCGTTGTCCGCATACATGTCCAAACGTGTCCATGAACATATTGTATGTTTGTTTTGACACACACCACTAGAGTCGCCCTAAGCATGCCGTTAGTCTTTCTACAGCAAGAGAAGGCCATACGCATTCGTTTTTCGTGTTTTGTCAAACCCCCATGCATCCAAACGCAAGAGCATCTCCGACATTCTCCCTGCTCCAAAAAATGTATGTATAGGAAAAATTGAGTCAAAAAAACTGTCCCAACAAGTTTTACTACCCCTTCCTCCCCCCAAAATTGATCTCTCCTAAAAACATCCCATATCTCCTCAAATCTCCCATAATTTTCTAACCCATGTCACATCAACATGCCGCCGCCATAGCTACTACCCACCATACCGTCGTCCATCGTCACGCCCGCCACGCGACTCCCCGTCGTCGCCGCTCGCTGTTACGCCACACCACCGCTGCTTCGCCACCACCGACTCTGCCATGTCAACGGTCGCCATAGCTTCGCCGATGTCTTACGTGGACACATGAGAAAGAGAAAAGAAATTAGTCACTGTGCGACTCACGTGTTAGGGTAAAGTTTATGGAGAAGTTTACAAAGGAATTGCTACAGTCGCACACCTTTCATTCATACCCAATATTTTTATAGAAGATCTCCTAAACACACATATAAGGAGAGATTCTTAGAGATCTTAATCTTGTTATTTATGACCACTGTAATAGAGAGAGTAATCAGGTAGCTTATGAACTAGTTAGGTTAGCTACGTTCTCTCCTCCTAATGTGTGGATGGAGTCACCCCGGAGGCGGTGGTTTCTATGATTATAAACGATGTAAAAATTCTAATAAATGAATAAAGGAGGAGATAATTATTAAAAAAATTGCTCTAAAAGCCTAAGAGGCAAGCTATCGTTTGAGAAAAAACAACCGAGGCTGAAAGAGAGTCTCAAAAATAGGTCAGCCGACATAGTGTAGGCCTCTCTTTAGGGCTTGGTAAAAGGTTTCAGCCATGTGAAGCCCAGCCCGTTACATAAAAGGTACCCCGCCGAAGCCCAGGAACACGCCCCCCTTCCGTACCATCCCGACCAGGCGACCACCGCCTCCGCTCACCGTCGACGACTCCAACTCCAACTCGAAACAAACCCCAAAGCCGACGCCGCCGCCTGCCCCCTGCCCCTTGCCCCCGCCGACCGCGCCGAAAACATGGACTCGCTTCTTGCCACCTACGCCTCTTCCGACGAAGACGCCGACGAGAGCATCCCCACACCCGCTCCCGCGACCCGCCGCAGCGAGGCCAGCGGAAAGCCCGCCGGCAGCATCTTCTCCGCGCTCCCGCAACCCAAGTCGGCGCCTATCTTCTCCTCACTCCCGGCGCCGAAATCCGCCCCGACCTTCTCCTCCACCCCGCCTCCCAAATCCTCCGCTTCCTCCGGAAACCCTAAGCGCGTCGTCCAGTTCCGCCCGCCGCCGATCCGCCAGACCACCGGGGTCAGCTCGGACGAGGAGGATGACGCCGAGAAGCGCCGTCCCAGCGCTAGCGAGGCGCCCCCGCCCCCGTCTGCTGGATCGGGGCCGGTGTCTTCGTTCCTCCCGGCGCCCAGGCACTCGCTTGGCTTCGGCTCCGGCGCGGCCAGGAGGTCGGCCGTAGACACCGCCGGGCCGGAGAGGTCAAATCTTGGTGCTGCTGGCCCCTCTAGCTCGGCTGTCAACAGAGGAGCGCCAGAAAGGTCCGATACTGGCCCTGCGGACGAGGACGATCCTGAGGAAAGCAGCGATGAGGACGGCATGCCTGCTCCGGAGCAGCAGCAAGAACAACAGGATCTTGGTGCTGGAGCTGGAGACGTCCAACACCAGGGCTATGATGCTGGAGTTGGAAACGCTAATGGGTACGAAGGCTATGCATGGGATCCAAACTATTATGCATATTATGGTTTGGATCCGAATAGCAATTTGAATTATGGGGCTGAACCACAGTATGCAGCATATGGAGTAGAGCAAGGTGGTGGGTATGCAAATGGATATGGCGGGGAGCACAGTGGTGGATACGAGCATTCGACAGCGCCTCCATGTGGAGGGGAATATACTGGAGGTTACAGTGCTGAGGCTGTGGCAATGGCAGCGCCACCAATGCCGGAGCCGGCACTGCCACCAGAATTGGGCAGGATTGGAGTGAAGAGAGGTAGGAGGGATATGCCTATGGAGATTATAGAGGTGAATCAGGCAGAACTGGTCAAGAACCGTCCGAGGGAGGACAAATCCAAGCTCACGGGGATGGCCTTTGGTCCTAGTTACCAGGTACAGACAAATCATTCCTTGATAACTTGGCATCACCTTTGCTTAGCTCTTGCTACATTGTTATTGTGCTCAGTTCACTGTACTTTCTTTGGTTTTCTTTCACCTTATATAGCCACCACCATTACTACTATCTAGTCAATGTTAGATAATTGTGTTTTTATTTTGTCAAGTGATACACCGCTACTGTAGTATGCATGCAGCATTGTCCATTCAATTTAGGCCCTGATACCAGTCCCCAGCAATTATTCTTGGTAATAGGTTTGTGTTTGTCACAGTTTTAGTTTTAAATTTGCAAGTCATCACCAATAAGGCAAACAAAGCAAGTACTGTACCTAACAAGTGAAGAGTCACCACTCATAACTTCTCCAAGCTGTAATTATGCTAGTAATGCTTTCAAGGGTGTTGTCAATGTCATCAGATCATCACTGGAGTATTTAACTATATAATTATGTTTTGTTACAAAAGGAACCATATGATTTGTCAATTCATATATATTCATATTTCCTTAAACTTAACGATAAGTATACTAGCTAATCTCCATTTTACTACCCTGAACAAAGTTGGTGGTTCACATTACCCCCTGATCTATTTTTCGGTTCACTTACCCCCCTAAACAATCCCATACCGGACAAAAAAAAATCCCTGGGTGGTTTTTCTGGACTTGCAGCTGACGTGGTGCTGGTCAATGGTGGTTTTGACCTGCGGGTGGGTCCCACTTGTCAGTTTTTTAAAAAAAATCTAAGAAATATAAAAGAAGTACTGTACCTGGGCCTTACCTCTTGTAAATTTTGGCCCAGCCCAACCCAGCGAGGGGCTGGGTCGTCTTCAACCGCCGGCGCTGCTCGTTGAAAGCACGCTGCCAGGGGTAGCCGTTTGCATCTACGCGGCCAACATCCACTCCTCGTCAGCAAACCTTGTCTACGAGGGCCTCCTTGCCCTAGAAAGCTCAAATGCCGACTCAATCGATGGATGACGCCCAAAATCGACTGAATCGAGCTCATCTTCCTCACTTCCGACCATCAGTCGCCGCCATCAATCTGTTGCCTCTCGAGTCTCCCCGACCTTTGTGACCTTGCCGCGAGATCCATGTGGTGCCGCCGATCTTCCAGACACGTCGTTGATGAGCGCCTCTTCGTCCAACCCCCTTCCCACGATGCCTCACTCCGTCGACCGCAAGCGAGGTCCATGCCCTCGCCATGGGCCCTCCCCACCCCATTCTACTGCTCTGGCATGCTCACGGCAAGCGCCTAATGCCGGCGCACCCCTCTCCCCTCTTCCATGTGCCTTGTAGTGCCCTGCCACCTAGCTTCGAACGGCTCCGTCGCTGTCCTCGGCCATACCTGAGGGTCTGACCGTCCCCGCTCGCGCTACCACCCCCATTCTACGCGGAGCGAGCCCAGGAGCGCGCAGGACGAATCCACCGGCCATTTGCTTGCCGGAACAGAGCTCCCACGCCCTATGCTGTGACGTATGCTCACCGAGGGCCTTAACGCCGGTGGTTAGATTAGGATCAGTGTTAGGTTATGCTAGTCTTGGGTCACTGATCACAGCCCCCCATCTAATTAACTCTTGTGTTTAATCACCAAGCCAATGACGTGTGGACCCCTGGTCAGTTTGACTAGTCAGTGCTGACTTTTTTAACAGGTGGGCCCCTCTCTCACTGGTCAAATACCGCTTTGACCTTGGGGAAAACCATCCAGGGACTGATTTTGTCCGGTATGAGATTGTTTAGGGGGTGAAAGGAGCAGAAAAAAAGATCAGGGGGTTATGTGAACCAACTTTGTTCAGGATAGTAAAATGGACTTTTTTCTAAAAAGTTACCATTCTGTTCAGTAAAGAACTATCGAAGCTATTACTCCGTTTGAATAGTTCTTTGAACTTCAGTTGTCACAATATATTATGACATTTTGCAGAAGATCTATTTTACTCGTAATGTAGTCATATAAATTTGTCTGAACTATCTAACTATTTGACTGTACCCTTTTTCTGATGTGTCAGAAAATTGTGACCAAACGAAGTACATAGTTGTTATTACAATGTACTCCTCCGTTCATAAGATGTTTTGGATCTTTCAATATGGACTACATACGGGTGAAATGTGTGAACAAACACACTAAAACATGTCATACATCCGATTTATAAAAAAGTTAGAATATCTTATAATAGTGAACGGAGGGAGTAACTATTATTTTGTATTGAGTATGTACCCTCTTAATGGGTTTGCTGATTGCCTATACCAGATGGGGCTTGTGAGCTAAGACAAACTTGCTTTAGTTTAGGTTATATTAAAGTACAGTTTGTTGGATCAAACGGTCAGCTTTACTGAGCAAAATCGCACTACATGGAATTGACCAGACTAGAGCAGGTTCTGTCTGTAATCAGACAAGATTCACACAGCGTTCAGTTGATTAAACTAAAATATTACTTTGTAAGCATGAATAAAAGAATAAGGTGATGATGTGACGTGGTTGTTCTTGATGTTGTGGGTAACTGGGTGTTGGATACTCCCTCTAATTGAAGACTTCTACATACATTTGAAATACAGACAAGCTAGAGTTCTGTTTTTCTTGCGTTAGGTCACCCTAATCCAGGACCTTATGTGGTAGGGTGTAATGGTGGTCTTGGGTTACGTCTTCACAGTCCATGTCTAGGAAAGGGATATGCTAGGATAGTAGAACTTTGAGATCACAAACTACAAATCAATGGTGAAAAATAGAAGGATGGCTAGTGTCAAAATACGGTCTTGTTAATATCTGATGATCCTACCAAAGGTAGACCTTTTTGATAATATAGGTTGATGATAATTGATATATGGGCCTATAGGACTGTATAACCCATGGTGCATTAGAAGATCTCATCATATCGCTATCAGAACTTAGAAGCATGTCTTGAATATATAGTTCTCCCTGTATTGTTTGAAAATTGTAGCTGTGAATGCCTATTTCTCCCTGGTATCAAAACCATCAGCCATTCAGCCATTTTCACATGTCCCTGTCTTGTTGCTGCTGTTCATCATCCAAACTTCTGCTTGTGACATCAATTTAGAGTAGGCTACTTCTACCGAATGAACATCGCTGCTCTCTTCGACATTACTCGATGCTCCAATGTGCGTATTATCCTGACCCAAGATTTGTTCTATCTCGTGTGTAGGCCGCCCCTTCGGGGAAGGGAAAGCCCTCCAAGCTGCAGAAGAGAAAGCATCAGATCGGTTCTCTCTTCTACGACCTGAAGCAGAAGGAGATGGAGCTTACCGAGAGGCGTGCCAAGGGCTTCCTCACGAAAGCGGAGACTCAAGCAAAATATGGGTGGTGAGAATGGTCACGAAGACAGCCTTGTATATCAGAAATTCAGAATCGAGCTGTAACTGTTTATCTATCTTGTTGTTTAACATTTTGTTGTAGTGCCTGGTGATGTGAACCCGTTGTACGATTATAACCAAACAAATAGTTCATTCAACCTTTGCTTGTAAACTGTGCATCAATTTTTACGGACCATATAAAGAAGGCAAAGTGTTCCTGCGATTCCTTTGACTCTGAAGCTCTATTTTGGCATCTCTAAACATCTGATGTTCAATTTGGCTCTACGGGTCATATGCTCCTGGACCTCCAAAACACTTCTACGAATGTTAAAAGTATATAAAAAAAATTAGACTTGTCCATCATTGAGGCTCCTTATGTGTCATCTCAGTTAGATCAGGCTCACTTGTCAGCCCAACTCTCCTCGTCACTATCCCCACTGATCCGGACATCACTGAGGCTCCTTAAGTGGCATCTCAACTTTTCCCACAAAAAAAGAAGTTGCATCTCAACTGATCCGGACACCATTGAGGCTCCTTTATGTGGCATCTCAGTTAGATTTGAGCATTGCAAGTCTTGAACTCTTAATACGCTGACGAAATTTGGGTCGCTCGGAATACAGAAATGAAATCCATGAATTCCAACCCAAATGACAGGAGCCAAACAAGGTGTATCATAGCAGCACCAGCTCCTCACACCATCGTCTAGGCAGTGATTGTCCTCACTGATGCTTGACCACCGTCATAGATCAAGCGTGCCACTGTCCCCACAACAATTTCATTTGTCCCAGCATAAGCAAATGCTTCTCCTACATTCCCACAATGTCTGTGAGTTCGCAACCTAGGAACCTCGTCAGTCTACCTTCATCAGCTATGTACATTTTACGATTTCTCGCTGGCAACCAAACAGTGGGAGAGCATAAAGACCACATAACATCATGAATCGATGTATCACACGCTTCTAAGTTGAAAGGTTGCAGTGTCAGGGATTCAAGCAAAATACTGATATGGAAAAACAGCCCAATGGATAAAGCTGAAAGACAAGGTTATGTAACATAAAAGGCATCACAAGAATGCAAAACCATTGACACAAAATCAATGGGAGTATACTGCAAAGAACTTGTACTCAATTCGCTGAAAATATTTTTAATCACAATGCATGCACTTCCAGTTTGAAGTTGCTTATGACAGGACACAGAGGAACATAACAGTGGACTAGACAGTCCATTGCTGCCTTCCGACACAAAATAAACCAGCCATCAAATAGACATCAACTCCAGGTAGCCCATCAGTAGAAGAAAAACGGAGAAAACCATCCTAAATCAACCGTAGATAAGCTCTCCTGCACAACATAGATAAAGGTGGTGAGGACAACTGAAGGGTGCAGAAGACATCTCATGCCAAAAAAACAATGCCTATATTGCACATGTTTACAGCTCAATAGTGTCGCATAACATATAACTGCTGTAGTACACACAATATCACTTACGCAACATCAGGTTTATCCTTCCGCTGTTTTTGTTGGTATCAATACGTAATAATTATATTTATCAATCTTCTTAGACGGGTACATAGGTCTTAGGCTCTTAAAATACAGAATGTAAGTCACACTGTTGTTCCAACACAATTTAGTTATAAGAAAGGTTCTGTCAAAACTATCATGGAATTAAACTACTTTTAAGTCGTTGTCACTTCCACAGGGAGCAAAACGACTTTCACATGTCAATGAATAATGATTCCATTCCTCAAAAGTGTCAAACTCTGCAAAACGCCTTCAAAAGGACTTAAATCCATATGCACATTTGAAGTTCAACAGAACATTAAACCGGTTTGCTAAACCATTTTTCTGACATGTCATCTGATAACCATTGACCTAACCTACTAACACAAAACGTGAATACAGCTAATAGATCTTACGCCGCTATTTGGAAGTATCATATGGTGCTATGCAACTTCATAAATGCACAAAATGGTGATCCAAAAAGATGGCCTGCAGTAACTTGAAGGTTGATACAGCTGTCACCACAGTCCCAAACTATGCATAGCCAACGCAACACACTGTGTGATCTATAATCACACATGATACCCAACAAATGTGTCATTCAACAGTTTCATTTGCTATTCGAGAACTATAACAGCATAGTGTAAGCCATATAAGTGATCGAACTTTGTAAAGCTCAAGGATGTCTTCATTGAGAATTTGCATCGCTGGTGCAATATATACTAGTAAAACTCAGAAGACAGTGCCAAACTATACCCTGGCTGAATGAAATGGATGTGAAACAGATTAACAGATAACGCCCAGGTAATTCAGATCCGCATACAGTTCCACTATTGGCGGTCATATAGACGAATCAATTGCCACTACACAAGTGATTCAAATGCACAATTGCTCACAGACCCCGCCAGAACATTTTGCATCTAATCGTACCGCACACCACGTCCATGCGACCTTATAGTTAAATTAAACCACACGCCAATCGTCAAGCAGACGGGGTTCAATCCCCGGAAAATAATCTCATCGCACCACCGGATCGGATCAGGAAACAGAAATGGTACAATCGAACCCTAACCTGCGCGAGGCGGATCCGGATCTAGTGGCCGCCGTGCTTCTCGAGGTGCTCGAGGTGGCGGCGCTCCTGGGGCAGGCCCACGAGGTAGGCGAAGGCCATGCCGCCGAAGCAGACGTGGAAGAGCGGGTCAACCGAGCTGGTCTCGATGTACTTCTCGATGTAGCGGTCCACCGCCTGGTCGGTGCTCTTCTTCACGTTCTCCCAGGTGAGGCGCGGTTTGAGGTACGCCGGCACATCGCGCACCTTCATCGCGCGGATCTCGTTGTACAGCGCGCGCATCGCCATGGCCGCGACCTGGAGATCTCCCTCTCTCTCTCCTCGTGCGCTCGGAGTCTAGGGTTCGTTCGGTCGTTGGCTTCGGTGGGGAGGGGAGGATGGAATGGCACAGGAGGTGGGGGATTTGTTTGGGTGGCAATCGGCGGAGTATTGTATTGGGTTGGGCTAGGTTGGGCTGGGCTTAAATGATACGGTGACAAGAATGACGGGCCTTCGGTTGACCAATATGTTGGGCCATCTCGTTAGATATACCGCCCCAAGACGGATCTGAAAAAAACAAAATTGATGATTCTCAAAAAACATATATGAAAAAACAAAATTGATATTATCACCGCAGCTCTTTTCACTTCTCAAAAAACAGCTTGTCAAAAAAAAATCTAAAGTAACGGTCTTCTAAAAAAATCATCTTTTTTTCAACATAGTACAAACACGAATGCTCATACATACTAGCATACACGCATCCCTATGAACGCATAAACACATACCATACCCCTATGAGCTTTGTTTAATTAAAAAGATCATCTAGAAAAGCATTATGTTCACAGGTTGCAGCTTTTTTCTTGCATCCCCTCTGCCTATTGCTTCGGAAGCTGGTGGCAGGAGGAAGAATCCTGATATCTCAGCTCTGACTAGTAGACAGGTTAGGGATGTTAGTCCTCATAGATGTTACGTTTGGTCGAATGGCGGCGCTTATTGTTCGAGTCAGTTTTCCATGCACCGATTCTCGTCAAACTCCCCCTCGAGGCGGATTAGACAAAGCTTCAGTGTAAATTCCTGACGGCTCCTCAGGTCGACGAGTTAGGGTTTTCTGTCGTGCATACATAACAACGAGATTTGGTGTCAGATTTTTCAGATTGATTCAACGATGACTCTACGACACCAGGGTGCTGGCCTTACAAGTGTGGTCATGAAGACTTCCCATCTGTCATCGATAACGTCAGGCCGACTGCAGTATTGAAGTGGCACAGTGGATCATTTTATTGGTGATAGTGGTTGTTTGATAGTCCAAAGATCATAATAAATTTTGTTTTGTGGTATATTTTTGGTGAACCTTTTATATTAGGTCTGAGTCATTTTCATTTTTTTATAATGCATGTTGGCACTCGCGGAGCTACTCACAGGCAAAACCGTGGCCCGCCCAGCAAAATCGCCAATTTCTTTTATACATATGCTCATAGCCCAGCCCACAACCACATAGTTGGCCGCCCATAATGCATAGCGGCATGGCCCAAAGCCCCAAACGCTCAGTCCAATAGAGTAGCACATGCGCACATCTATCCACTGCTCGGCGGACGCAAAAAAAAAAAAAATCCATCCACTACTTGGTATGTTGGGGAACGTAGTAATTCAATAATTTTTTTATGATTACGTAAGATCTATCTAGAAGAAGCATAACAATGAGACGGGAGAGTGTGTCCATGTACCCTCATAGACCGGAAGTGAAAGCGTTTAGTAACGCGGTTGATGTAGTCGAACGTCTTCACGATTCGACCGATCTAAATACCGAACGTACGACACCTCCGTGTTCAGCACACATTTAGCACGATGACGTCCCTCGAGATCTTGATCTGGTAGAGGGTCGAGTGAGAGTTCCGTCAGCACGACGGTGTGATGACGGTGTTGGTGATGTGATGCGCGCAGGGTTGCGCCTAAGCACTACGACAATATGACCGAGGTGGTAAACTGTGGTGTCACGCCCGGATAATTAAGTTACAGTAATTGCATGCTAATGATGCCATGTCACCTTGGTTACTGTTGTTAATCTCACGATGATTCAAAAACAATTTAAATTTTCAAATTTAAAATAAAGACAAAAATCAAAAGTTTTCAAACATTAAAACTAAAATATTCAAACTGGAACAAATAAATCCTAAGTAATAATTATGAAGAAACCACACTTGTATAAAGTGTGTAAATACTCAAAAATGAATAAAATAGTAGCAAAAACAATTAGTTAAATTATTGTAAAATAATAAACAATTACAAACTATTTTATATTAGTTGCCAACTTAATCATGGTAGTGGCATAAGTATTAATAATATTTTAGGTACAACTTGGGTATTTCATAAAAACAAAAATTTAATAAAACAAAAAAGAAGAAATAAAAGAAAATAGTAAAATAGAAAACAAAACAAAAACAAACAAAATAAACAAAAGATCCCCCTTCCCTGGGCCGTTCGGCCCAACCGGGCCACCAGGCCGGCCCACCCCGCCTATAACCCCCCCACACACACACTATCAGAAACCCTAATCCCCTCTCCATGATCCCCACCCTCCCTGCGCGATTTGGATCGGGAGCGCCCCGACGCTCACCGCCCCGAGCCCGCCGTTGCCCGGAGTCCTCGTTGTTGACCATCGTTGCGTGTGGTCTTCGCCGACGCCGCCATCACCCTGCGTGCCTCAGCCTCCTCCTCGCCCCGTGCTAAGGCCGCCGTTCTACGTCGTGCCCTCGACCCCGTCGCCACGCTGCCCTTGTCACCGACGGCCATCGCCGCTGTTCGCCGAACGTCCCCGACCTCCCCCTCAACGGTCCTCATCGACCCTTACCGCCCCCTCATCCCAGCATCGCAAGTGAGCGTGCCCCCTCCTCCGATCTCCCTTCTCCCCGCAGTCATCGCGCTCACTCCCCCTACACGCGCTAGTTGGCGCCCAGAGCGTGCGCCCGCCCTCGCCTAGCGCCACCACGCCGCTTGCTCGCTCCCCTACACACTGCTCGGGGTGCGCCCTGCACGCGCCCACCCGCGCCCCGTGGTCGCGCCCTGCCTCGCCCACGGCCACCGCTGCCGGTCGCCCTTGTCCCGCGCCCGCCTGCGCCCCACCGCTCCTCACCGGGGCCAGCCGGAGCTCTGCCGCTCCACTCGCCGCGGCCACCCGCACACACGCGCGCCCTCCTCCCTGCCTGCTCGCAAGCCCCTGCTCCACCGCCGCGTGCCGCTCTACTTTATCCCCCACTCCGGCCACCGCGCGCCCGCGCCGACCGCCGAGGTCCCCTGCCCGCTGTTGCCTCACTCGCTGCGCGTCGTCGCCATCCGCCGCTGCCGTTGCCTGGGTCGCGCCTGACCACTCTCGGGCCACCCACGCCCGACGCCCGCAGCACCCGCAGTGCCTGCGCCCGTAACCCGCCTGCCCGCTAAGGCCCCCTAGCCAATGACAAGTGGGGCCTGCCCCCTGTGAAACATTTTTAAAAAGGATTAAATAAATAAATGTAATTAAATAAATAATTAACTTAATTAACACTATTTAATCAACCTAATCACTTAATTAAACTAACCAGTTATGTTTAGGTAAACCGAGTATATGACAATCGGGCCCCATCGTCAGGTTGACCGGTCAACGGTCAGAGTTGACCGATGACGTCATGCTGACACCACGCTGACACAATAAACAATTTTTCAAATTAAATGAATTTAATAATTCTAGAAATTGATTAAATCTTTGTAAATTATTATAAAATAATCCGTAACTTAGATGGAAAAACTTTGTACATGAAAGTTGCTTAGAACGACGAGACGAATCCGAATACGCGGTCCGTTCGCCCGCCACACATCCCTAGCATAGCGAACCCGCAACTTTCGCCCTCCGGTTCATCTATCCGAAAACGCGAAACACCGGGGATACTTTCCCGATTGTTTCCCCCTTCGCTGGTATCGCCTCCTACTGTGTTAGGGCACATCTAGCACCGTTACTTGTCATGTCATGCATTGATATGCATCTGTTTGCATTGTATTCATTGTTTCTCCCCCCCTCTTCTCTCCGGTAGACTACGAGACTGACGCCGCTGCTAGTGCCCCGATCGACTACTTTGTTGACGACCCCTCCTTGCCAGGGCAACCAGGCAAGCCCCCCTCCCCCGTTGATCAACTCGATATCGCCTATTCTTCTCTCTACCGCTTGCATTAGAGTAGTGTAGCTTGTTACTATTTCCGGTTAATCCTATTTTGTTGCATAGCCTGTCATTATTGCTACATTTGTTGATACCTTACCTGCAATCCTAAATGCTTAGTATAGGATCCTAGTTTATCATCAGTGGCCCTACATTCTTGTCCATCTGCCATGCTATACTATCAGGTCGTGATCACTTGGGAGGTGATCACGGGTATATATTTATACATAATATGTGATACAGGTGGTGACTAAAGTCGGGTCGGCTCATAGAGTACCCGCAAGTGATTCTGATGAGGGGGCTGAAAGGACAGGTGGTTCCATCCCGGTAGAGGTGGGCTTGGGTTCCCGATGGCCCCCGACTGTTACTTTGTGGCGGAGCGGCAGGGCAGGTTGAGACCACCTAGGAGAGAGGTGGGCATGTGTTGGGGAACACAGTAATTTTAAAATTTTCCTACGCACACACAAGATCATGGTGATGCATAGCAACAAGAGGGGAGAGTGGTGTCTACGTGCCCTCATAGACCGGAAGTGAAAGCGTTATGACAACGCGGTTGATGTAGTCATACGTCTTCACGATTGACCGATCCTAGCTCCAAAGGTATGGCACCTCCACGATCTGCACACATTTGGCTCGGTGACGTCCCACGAACTCATGATCTAGTAGAGCTTCGAGGGAGAGCTTCGTCAGCACGACGGCGTGATGACGGTGATGATGATGCTACCGGAACAGGGCTTCGCCTAAGCACTGCTACAATATGATCGAGATGGATTATGGTGGAGAAGGGCACCACACACGGCTGGAAACAATCAACTTGTGTGTTCTAGGGTGCCCCCTGCCCCCGTATATAAAGGTGCAAGGGGGGAGGCCGGCCGGCCTTGGAGCGCGCCAAGGAGAGGGGAAGTCCTCCCCCTAGTAGGAGCAGGACTCCCCTTTTCATATTCCAACTAGGAAGGGGGAAGGGGGAAGGAAGGAGAGGGAGAGAGAGGGAGGAAAGAGGGGGCGCCGCCCTCCCTCCTTGTCCAATTTGGACTCCCAAGGGGGAGCACGCGGCCAGACCTAGGCCCTCTCCTCTCTCTCCCACAAGGCCCATGTTGGCCCATTAGTTCCCCCGGGGGTTCCGAT